GAGTTTGTGGAAGTGGGGAGGTTAGGACCCTCTGACTACTTTGGTAAGCACTAAAGCTTCATCACAGCAGTCTGTATGTGTATTACTATTTATATTTAATTTATATAGTTTTGCGGTAACGTTTTAAATAAAAAAGCAAGGAAACACTTGATTCCTGTCACTAAACACATGACCAAAGTGCACTCTTGTCTTCATGTTATTTGACATTTTGTGCGTGTTTCTGTGTGTGTTCTCCAGGTGAGATTGCCCTGCTGATGAACCGCCCCCGCGCTGCCACTGTGGTCGCCCGCGGCCCCCTGAAGTGTGTGAAGCTGGACCGACCTCGCTTCGAGCGCGTCCTGGGTCCCTGCTCGGACATTCTCAAACGAAACATCCAACAGTACAACAGCTTCGTCTCGCTGTCCGTCTGAAGGGTCTCTCCTCCTCCTCCTCCCTCCACCCTTTCCCCTCTTTTCTCCTTTTAGACCCGGGGTCCACCAATGCAATTTGCTTTTTGTCACTTTCTTCTTCTTCTTTCTGTTTCGGCTTTTATCCCTTTTCGTTTTACACACAGAGATAATTTTGTTGTTAGCACCCGTCACGCTGAGGTGACTTTCAGCCATTCACCAGCGCTTGTACCAGCTGCTGTACGCTACCTTGTAGGCACAGTTACATCACACGTTACCTATGTTATATTCGCTGGTTACGCTTTCTTTTTTTGACTTAAACACAAAGCAGGATTGTTAGGAGATCTGAAAGACATTAGGGTCTCAGACTGCTGAGACAGGACAATCAAACTTTACATGGCGCTTTTAGTGAACTTCTTACAGATTTAAGTTGTAGATTGAACAGAGGACTTATTTTCTCCCCGTTAAAGAGTTTCCTTTTGGACATCATTTAGCCCGATTAGATACACAGCGTAGAGAAAAACCTAGAAACTGTATAAAAAAAAAAAAGGCAGGACGAATATGATTGAATTTTATCAGACGTTATTTAGGTTTCAGCTATACCATGATTGGCACGATGAGAAAAGGCTGTTTTGCTTAGTAAGAGAGAGCTTGTACAAATTATAATTTTAATGTGCAGCTACCAGGCGAGTGCCAAATGTGGATTATTGTCACAACGCAACGATGCATAGCCGTGGAAACGCAGTGCGTGCCCTCAATATTTGGAGCTCCAAACAGGAAGTAGTTACTGTCCTCTTTATCGGTAGAACGACCATACAAGAACTGCCTTGACTACTCTGAGGAAAAATAATATAATATATAAAAGAAAGCTAAAAACAAAAAAAAAGAGTATTAAGTGTATTTCAGTATTCAATTTTTTTAGTATATACCAAATAACTTGGTCACTCTTCTGCTATGGTTTGTAATCAAAATGTTATCATAGTATAGTTAAAATCGATCATAGTTATATTATTATTATTATTATTATTATTATTATTATCATGGACTAAATGATAAACTTATGGTTTGGAGTGATGGTGATCTAAAAAAAAAAAACTATGTTTAACTGTCTTTTGTAAACACTTATTTTTCCATAAATTCTATTTTAGGTGTCCAGTGCCACAAAGTAAATAAATGCTTCTTCTTGTCAACCGACAAAAACAGTATGTAATCGTATTGTGTAAAACGTCATGGGTTAAAACTTAAAAAAAATAATAGATCAAATGGGTTATTCCAGGTTTATTGAAGTGAAGTCTTGAAAAAAAACAAGATGGTTTTATGGGTTTTCAGGACATCTGAAGTATTTATGTATGGAAGCGGATGGGCAGAGTGAGCAGATATTTATTTAAAACTAGTGTCATTGCTTATTGCCTATTTGAAAAGGTGGCTGTCTTTTCATCAGAGTAGCTTGTGATCTGTTCTCTATGCTTACTTGGCATGATGTTTTAGGCATCCAGTGATCCGGTATGAATGGAAAGCGTGTATTAAAAAAAAATCCTGCAGCTGCTGCGTGCAGAAGCAGGAACTTTGTCAAATATTTGGTTTGTTACTCCCTAGCTTAACTGCTTCATGACTATTTAGATGGCATATAATGTTTAAGTCTGTTTTGTTTTTTTAAAAGATCTTTACCAAATCACACAATGTTGACTTCTGGATTATAGGCTTAACTCTTCATTCCTGCCTCACTTGTCTGTTACCAGAAATGACATAGAACCAGTCATGTGTTTCTGTTTTGTCTCATTCAGGGCACTTAAATGCGCTTAAGAATCGAGATGTATGTTGTACGTCCAAAAAAGATTTGATTTTGGTGCCGATTGCAGGGTATAGTCAAGTTAGTGAGAAGAGTTTTTTTGTTAATGGACATGAGTAATATGTAATTTTCTTTACAGTTAAATCAATCATCTGATCCCTATCCTGATCCACAGGAAATTACTCCGTTAGGGGAGCGTGGGTTTGACTCACCTTTTATCAAAATATTGTTTTCTTGTAAATAGCAGCGTCATTGGTTTTAGTCCAAAATGTTTTTAGCCACACTGCAATCGTCCCGGTTTGCCTTAGCTTACCTAACCTGGGCTTACAGTAGTAGTCAGTCACTCCTGCTAGCCCGACCTCCAGTGAGTTTGTTAGGCCTGCAGCGCAGAGAGAGCTGCAGGCGACCAGAGGACCATTCTTTTTCTATTCTACCCTGTATTCAGTTTGACCTCCTGTATGTGCAAAGATGTTTATCCTTTTGGTATAGATTGTTCCAGATGGCAGTTTAAGCAATAAAAAAGTAAAAATAATTCAGCTTCGTGTTGTGTTTTCTTCTTTTATGTTTCAACTTTTTTTTGGGTTATATTTCAGGGTTGAAAAACACAGATATGTTAAATCATCAATGTCACAGTCTACACATTACAGTTTTTCTTTTCCTAAGTAAAAGGCCAAAATTAATTGCGTTAATATATACTTAAATTACTGAAAGTAGAACTACACATTTTACAGCAGCCTATATTAGTGTAATGTATAATAAAATAATAATAATTGTTGATGCATTTATTTGTTCATTGCTATATTATTGCAACTGGAAAAGTTAGGGCATATTTCTTATCTGTATTTGGATTATTATTATTTTGTATATTTAACTTTTTCCGTCTGGAGATACTGTCATTGATTAAATGGTACAATAATTTGTCAAATATGATATGAATTGTAAATGTAAAAAGTGGCAAAGCTATCAAATGAATGTAGTGGAATAAAAAGTAAAATATTTGCCTCTTAGTTGTAGAGTTTTTGTTTAAAGTAGAAGAAAATCGAAATAAAAGTAAGTTAGTAGGCCTTCAAGTACCTCTAAAATGTTACTTAAGGATACTACTTTTATAACTGTGCTTAAGTATAGACAATTCTTCAGGCTACACTCTTTTAAAGTATGTAAAACACTGACATTATTAATGTTTTTTTACACGGTTTTCCCCAAAAAATAAAACCCTGAAAATGGGCTGGAAGTAGATGTATTTTTTTCTCCTCTGCGAAACAGGTGAGCAGGGCATCATGGTTGCACAGAGGTCTGTTATCTGGTTTATTTCCACAAAAGAGATTCAACAATACATGTTTAACTCAGATGGGAAGTCTGTTCTGCAACAGTATCGCCGACTACCAGACGTATTACAAAGGTAAGTGTAGTTAGCTAATTGTTTATGTTCGTTAGCTAGTTAGCTGACAGATGTCCTGACTCAGTGTAACTGGTTGAAAAACATACAATACTATGTAATATTTTTTTGTAGATATGTAAGAAAGCACAAGGGTATAGTTTACATCCAAAAAAAGCTAACTCTACCTTGTTTGCTTCGAATAATTTACCTAAAACTGCACACTTCATGTTTGTTGTAAAAACTTTACCTATGCTATGCTAATGCTAACCCTCGCTCTCTGACAAGTTGACTAACTTTACACGTTAATATGGTTGTAGTTCAAGATGCTTCCAGTAAAGTATTTCCATTAAATGGGTTTTAACTTATCCTGTCTAAATAATGTGGGGTGTATTTTAAAGTCAATCTTAATAATAATGGGTTATATTGGGTGCATTGGCTCTGAAAAGAGATGCAACATGACATCTGTCCACCGGGGGGAGACATGCCACTGCTTAATGTTTAGAAAACAGCAGGACCATTTTGATTTATTCCTGCACCAAAACATAGTAGAAATGGTCAGTTTAATACATACTTTTATAGATACAGTCTATGACTCATACCCACATGTTAAATGTCAACCTTTCCTCTATTTTGTCATTATTTCTCAACATTCTTCGTCTCGTTAATAATCACATTTTCCTTAAAGAGGATTTTGATCACTTTAGACAACTTAGATTTGTTTCCACGTAGTATATTTTCAAATAATGAGAAACATTTATAAATGTAATTATTGCCAATTGTCCTTGGCTCTTGGGAAACTACCAACATCTGCAGCTTTGACATTATTGCTATTAGTTTTTGGAGTTGGAAAAGTTTGGCATTTGTCATTCTACATTTTCAACTGGGTTTTCAAATGTGAATTCCTGTTGCTAGATTTCAGTGAAGATACACTGTGGTTTAAAGGTATTTACCTGTGGTAGAGAGCACTTTTTACGATCTCGACTTATCAGCCTTACTGCCTGCCTTTTTAAACTGATGTCTGACTTTATTTGGCATCTTTCCAAAAGTTAAGATCTCTTAAAAATAGTTGTGGTTGTTCATCTTGTTTTACATCACACACAGACCTGGATCATATCAAGTCTGTCGGATAGGAACACAGGACATAATGAAGGCCAAAGCTCAAAATTGGTTACAGATGATAACACATTCTCATATTCATAATAAGAAAATGTTGGCTTAGTTCAGGATTTTCTATGTTGATATGATATGACACATATTTCACATTTACTTAAGGTTAGTCATTACTGTGTCTCAGCCTGTTTTAGTTGACAGTGACGTGTTAAAGCTGTTTAAACCCTCTGATGAGACAGAAGAATTTACAAGTCTGGAAAACGGGGTGGAGGAAACTAAATGACTGTTTTAATGGAAGCACTTTTCTCACACACACATCTAGACACACTGTTACAGGTGATAATTTCTCTTCAAAATAACTTTATTTTCAAATTAGAACAACACAAAGACACCCACACATTTCTCTCTATACCAACATATTCACCAGCATTAATTTGGCAAACAACTGATCCAGTGCATCGTAGCTCTCTTTTATTAATAGTAGCTCCACTGCTGAATTTGATGCGTGGTAGAACTCTCATACTATAGCTTAATTTATTTAATAAATAAACTCCATTCCCTGATGCTTCTTTTTGGTTTCTAACATTGGTTTTTAAGGGTGCACTTTTGGGCTTTTTAATATTATATGTTCAATGCATTTGGCATACATTTTGGTAAGGGTGCAAGTTTTTTCTTCCTAAAGCTCAACCTAAGCTCTTATAATAAGTGTTAAATAAACGGTGTAGTCAAAATACAGACACTCAAAGGCTTAAGGGCTAAACATATCTTCATTGAAACCCTTTTAAAACCGCCATGCTTGATCCCATAGCCATCAGGATTTCAATCTTGATGTACCTGATAACAAAAAGTGAGTCATAAAATGCACCCTTGGGGGAATTTATGACCATTATACAAAAGGAAATAAAATGCACAACTCCCTCTGTGATAGGAATTTGAGGCCTGCAGTGATTCACGGTCTGAACCTCCTCAACGAGATCCTTCTCTGACAAGCTCAGAAGATTTTAACCCGTCTTCCATTTATGGCTTGTTCCTTAAATCGAAACCATCTGAGCCTTGTTTTGCGTACTTCGCTTCATCATGAAGTCTTCTGCACAGAAACAGCTATGAAGAGGATCATTTCGTCCTGTGCTACCTGTCCTTCTTCATCTCTGTGTTCATCTGAGGTGTCGCTGTGGATTTGACAAAGTCCTTGGTGATCACGTCCTCCTCGCCCAGCCTCCTGACGCAGCGCTGCACCGCTCGGAGGACCTTCTGTAGCCGGCGGTCCAGCGCTAAGAGGTGGGGCTCCATTAGGACGGGCTGTAGAGAGTCTCCCTTCAGAGACTCCCTCATCACATCGCTCAGTCTGAACTCTGGTCGGGCCAGGAGCTGCAGACGCACCAGAGTGGAGCGCTTTATCCTGAGGAGAGAAAAGCAGAATTCATTTTCCTCCCAAAACTTAGATAAGATAAGATAAAAATGTACTTTATTGGTCCCGATTTGAGAAATGTTTGCGTTGCAGCAGCATAAAAGACAAGGCATTGCACATAAGTAGAAATTAAAAGAATAGAAAAAAACAATTCAAAAATGACTATATGTAACAATTAAAATGTATTAATCGCTTTGTTTTGCAATTGGACGGATTCTAACATAAATTGACAAATGAGACCTTTCCAGACTTCTCTGTTGTATATACCAGCCTGTAGACTTAAGGCGCTTTTGTCAGATAAATCCAAAGAATATATAGTTTATGCATGTTCCAAAAGGACATCCTGTTTTCAGATCTCTTAAAGTGTCAACATAGCAAAATACAGTCTTGAGTCGATAGGCTTATTAAGCAAACACTTTGGACTGATAAGGCTTGTATATTGGTTAGCTTGCGGTTAGGGTTATGACAAATGGTGTTGATTTTAACCAAAGGTACAGAGCCTATTAGTTATGCTGTGATGCAATGCAGTTGGCCAACTATCCAACTGTGACCTAAGCTAAGCTAAGGTTAGCAAGCCTTGGTCGCTTTGTAACTTTACAAACTAATTTGGTAATGTTATTCTAAATATGAACCACTAGTGTAATAAAACGCCACTGTTGTGACCATTGCTCGGAGCCCAACAGGATGCAGTTCAGTTAACGGACACTGGTGCTATTAATAACCATCACTTTACATTATTACACTTACATGCAGCACTGGGATAGTGGAGCCAAGATGGACATCTCATCTTGAGAGTGTTTCCCAAACCTGAGCACAAGATGTGATTAAGATAATGAAACCACAACGGATCATTTTATAATCATTGCAGGTCTCCCTTGAAAAAGACATCAATGATCTCAATGGGATTTCATCTGGATAAATAAAGGTTTTGAATTTAATTTAATTTAATCATTCATTTCTGTCAGGATTTAGTCTCACCCTCGTGCATTGTCCAAGTGGAGAAGGAACCCATCGTCCCCAAATTTAGTAAAAATCTCATAATGGTGTCTGTCCATGTTGCCTGTAACAAAGTTAAAGCACAGTAAAGTAAGAGACAGTTAAAGCTTGAGTGCCAAAGTGAAAAGTAGATGATAAAGTGGATTAAATACTTGTGAGGAAGTCGAAGATGGACATGTCGATGATGTTGAGGAGCCTGTTTCCTGAGTTATATGGATACTGTTGTTTCACTGTGTCACAGTAGAAAGGATTCACTTCCCACCTAAAAAAGAACAGACAATAATATTTGTTTTCAAAAATTCTGATTCAGGAACTGTTTACTGCATTTGAATGTTTTTGTCTAGATGTTTGGAACAATTTCAGAAAACTGCGTTTGAAATTGAGTTATTTTTAGATTTGGAGACATTATTATAATTATATAATGATTTATGGACACAGGATGAGTCAGCTTATTGTTTGATGTTTAAATTGTACTTTTGTAAAGCGACTTTGAGTACTTAAAAGCGCTGTATAGATTTTTATGTATTATTATTATTGTTGTTTTATTAAAAAAATACTAGACTTTACAATGTTACTGCAGGCCACCCACTGTTCCAACCGCAATGAAGTATCGTCAGTAAAAGACGGTGCATTCCCATCATGCTGTTTTAACTAAAACATGTGGGGAACATATTTTCAACAATAACCTTACTTCATGTATGTATATCATAGGAAGTCAAATCTCCGGTATACAGAGTTCTAGCTACGATACTGTTATGTCAAGTCTTGGACCTTCTCAATATAACTATAATTTAATTACAGTTTCCAGATATTGGAAGAGGCCCATGAGTCTCTTTGCTAATTATCAATGGTCTTTGCAATTAACAGCAGATGTACCCATGTTAAGTAAATTGGCAAAGGTCAGAGGAACTCCAAGAGAGGTCTTCCTCAGATATAATACAGTTAAAGTCTTGTTAGTTAGTGGTTCATATCCAGCATGCATTAGCTAAGAAACGATAAGGATGTTGGTGTGTGACATCTGGAACTTACATGTTGCTCTGATGTTGGTGCGTCCAAGTTTAGGAGACCTGACAATGTGTGTGCGTTAAACATGATTAGGGAACATGTTCGTGTGTCATTTAGGAAACCTATAAGTGTCCTGTGTTTCTGAATATTTGTGGGACCATTTCTGCGATTGGTTGCTGTTGAAGCAAGGTAATGTTTCCCCATTGTTGTTTGGTGGTGCGCAACTAAATAATATTGATTAATCTCAACTATTTCTGTGTTTGTGTTTCATTGATTCCTCTCTGTTTCATTCTTTCCTGTTGTGTGAGTGCTGGATCTCCACAACAATACGATAATACTTTAGTGGTCAGATCAAGTCTGAAATTTGACTTGCATCACAGCAGCTCCATGTGTAACATCAACACAGACAAATATCAAGACACAATACATGAAAAACAAACATTTAACATAACACCACAATCACTGAGAGAAAACATGCTCAAAGAGCCTTTAGCGTGCATTTGATCTGAGATTCAGCTCTGTATTTACTGTGAGGATTGACTGGAGCACAAAGGATGCTTCAGTCTGACTTTATTGAATCGTGGGACCCTGTATCTCTGATCAGATGGTAGCAGTTCATATGCACTGTTCAGAACATGGTTTGGGACCCAGATGATGTTCTTGGACAGCCTCACTAGGTTGTTAGGCTGAGTCATAACGTCTCTGACAGGGTTGACCAACAATCTTTGAGCAGATTTTTAACAGGTGGAGCAGTTTTGATTTGAAAGCTGTTGACAAAAACTTGTACTGGCTCTTACTCTTCTCGCCCGCTGAAGGTGTAGGAGCGAGTCCAGGGGTTGGGGATGGAGATGCGGGGCGCGATGCTGAGGCCGGGCAGGTACGCCGACAGGGACCCCTCCAGCAGGTCTGGTCCTCCACACACTGCATACTCTGTCTTACACACGTACAGGCACTTGGCAAAGAAACACGTGTTGTTGGCTGTTTAGAGAGCAGAATGAAAGGGTGGAATACAAAATGAGCTTCATGTTCACTTACAATTACATGCTGTTTGATTTGCTTGGCTTTCCCTCTAACTAAAGAACATTAAACCAGAACAAAGAAACAGTCTTAGGTTTCTTTTGATGCAAGGAAAAAGATATAGGGACACACTGTCGAAACAAAAGTTTTGCCAAGAGAAACACACAGATTTTAGCATGATATTGAGTGTAGCAATCACATGGTTGCTGAAAATGGTCTTAATAAAGTTTAACCCTTGCCAGAAATAAAAACACTTTAATGTTTTGGCATACACATTTAAAGTGAAAGGAAAGTGGCACGAAATATGTATCAAGACCAACTTTTTGCATTGTCTCACATGTGTTTTTCGAGATCTATTATTATTAGAGAGGTTAGTAGTGAGACTAACCTTCAGTATAGCGGCCTTAGCGACTTAAATTCAAACAAGAAGCAACAGAAAGCAGCTAGTGTGAATCTGTCTAAGGTTTAGAAATGCCAACAATCACCTCTAAAGCTCACTAATTAACATATTATATATTGTTTGTTCAAATGATGATTAGTTGCATTTTGAATGCCCTGTAAGACTACAACTTGTTCCAGTCTGTATGCTAAGCTAAGCTAAGTGAAAGCTCCGGTTGGACTGTTAGCTTCATACTTGTGTACAGACAAGAGAGTGGTATCAATCTTCTCATCTAATTCTTGGCAATAAAAGTGAATTGGCGTATTATCCAAAATGTCAAACTATTCCTTTTAAAAAGACCTGCTGGTTCTTTACCAGGTGAAGTGAAGAACACAGCTCGCAGGTCTTCGTTGTGAGTAACTAGCCGAACTTCTCCTGAGACGTTCACCAGCCTGCCAGCCACCGGCGGGACCCTCCGGAAGTCCAGGATCCTGAAAAATAATTGAATGACAATTACTTAAAGGTCCCCTATTATACTGTTTTTCATCAATATATTATAGGTCTCAGATATATACAAAACATGTCTCTGAAGTGTTTGGCTCCAAACACCAAACAGATCATTGCAGCATCCCATAATCCCCTCTGTTTCAGCCCTGTTTCCAAAGTGCTGATTCTCTGTCTGTTACTTTAAATGAAAATAAGGAGCCACTCCCTACACCCCTCTGAGAGATATTTGGTTAAAAAGAACACAATGGTGCTCTAGGAGGAGATTCAGGTGATAAGGTGTTACCTTGGTTGGTGATTGGCTAATGGTTACACAAGCCAAAAAATCGTTATGACATCACAAAGCGGCCAAAATCTGATCAGCTCTTTTTCAGACAGCTTTTTATATAAATGGATCAGGACAAAAAGAGAGAGAATCTTTTTTCCTGAAACTTTCAGAATCTCTTTACACAGAGGGGACACATGTTGATGTAGAAGAGACATGAACAAGTGGATTTTGCATAATAGGTGACCTTTAATAAGGGGGTTCCTGGTTGAGGAAAAGTTTACAGTTCATGCTTACAGTGATTGAATATACATGTGAGTCATGTCAGGAGAATGCTATCCTTATCTCTATCTCCTCACCTCGTTTCACAGCAGCCTGCAGTTTATTTTGACTGATTCTTATCAATGAATGAACTCCACTGACAGTCTCTACGCTGTATAATTTAGCTGGCTGTATTCATACACACTATCAAGAGCTTATACCTCCCCCGAGGGCCCTATTTCAGTCATGTGTCGCAAACAGTAATCAAACAACAATCAGTGGGAGTAGCTCAATGGACGTTTCTCAGATCCTCAGCATTCCCCTACTGCTGATTTTTGGCGATGATTTTAAAGGTTTGGCAGCAAACGCAGACACAACAGAGAGAGACAACGCACTGCCACGGATTAAAAATAGGAAAGGGCAAAGAAATCTGTAGTGTTTGATGTCAGAAACTTAAAATATAATATGTAAAGACTAATAGAGCAGATATACAAGGTAATTATGAAAGTGTTGACGTGGCACTCCTCTTGTTTGCCACTATCGTTTTTGGTTGAAGCGATGACTTATCATTGTGTGTGGCTCCTTAATGATACTGTCTGGCTCAGATGACTGTGTTCAGAGTGAATCACCTCACCTCAGCTAATGTGCAATTACAAAACGATGCGTGTGTTTTCTGGAGTTTGCCCACTGCGTGTGGTTTAAACTGATCAGCTAGTTTGGAAACACTGGGTTGGGCAAACGTCTTGCAATCTTTACTTACAGTGGGTGGTTTATTTCATGGCAGAAGGAGATGTTATTTTGATATATATAACTTGTTGAAGACCTCGTTTAAGATTACACATTTTCATGTCATTCCTCTAAAAATACTTAGTGTAATTTACAGTGACTTATAGATATATCTCAAAGCCCTGTGAGCAGTACCGACAATAGACACAGTGTCAGCCTGCTTAAATATGCTAGTGATGACAATGCTATCATGTGTATGCATGGCAGGTACAATGGTGACCATGTTCCCTATCATAGTTTAGTGTATTAGCACCCTGACATTAGCTAATTGGCACTAAACACAAAGTATAGCTGGGGTTGATGTGAATGTCATCAGTAGTTATTTGGCCACTGAAAAAATGTAGTAATGACCTTATGATGGCCAAATGTCATAGCAATCCATCCAATACTTAATTAAATATGTCACTAGGCATTGCCATCCTTAGAGCAATGCTGCTGTTTTAAATTCACATGTTGATGTATGAATGCTGACTTATGTGTTTCTCTGTAATCCCAGTATGGTATGTTATACTGCTGGAAGCCATTAATAACTCAGTTTTACTTGCTTGTTTACCGCCTGTTATTTGGTTTTATATTTGCGTCACGTATCGTGCCATTAAAATTAAAAGGCCCAAACAAAAACATTTGCTGCACTTCAGCGGGCACCAGAGCCAGAACCAGGGCCAATAAAATGACAGATGTGAAACACAATCTAAGATTACCCCCAGGCGTCAATGCCACATAAATAAACTGAGAGACCAATTAAAACACACAGAGTGTAACAGAGATGGTAGTAAAACTGGAAAAACAATTAAGTGATAAACGAGCGTTACGAGTGACGTCACTGCACCTGTCCAGGTGAAAGGCAGCGATCTCTGCGTTGTGTCTCTGGAGATCAACAAAGTAGAAGAAGTCTTCTGGAGTCTCCTCGTCCCTCTGCTGCCTGACACACACACACACACACACACACACACACACACACACACACACACACACACACACACACACACACACACACACACACACACACACACACACACACACACACACACACACACACACACACACACACACACACACACACACACACACACACAAAAGATGTCAGTTAGTATAATTAACACAGGTAGGAGAAGATTAAGCCCAACGACACGACACGACTTGACATGAGAATGTGTAAATGCGATGTCTAGAAAGTAAAAAAAAAAAATGTTATCAGTCAATCATCTTAACCTTGGTTTGTTATTTTTTTGTATTGGCAAATGAACTACACTCAGTTGTTTGTAGGGCATTGGGGAAGAGAGATAGTGAGAATGAATTAAAAGGTGTTGGGTTTATTTACACAATATTATCAAAGGTTTATTATTAACATGATGTTTCAGGTTTAAAATGTTATCACAACTTTTCTGACTGAATTGTCCACCTTTTATTGTGTTTCTATTGTATTTGGTGTTTTTATGGCTTTAAAAAATATGAAAGTGTGAGTATGCATGCATTAGTGTGCACATGTGTGTTTTGAGCAGTGCCTCAGGGACTCACCTCATTGGTTTGAACATGGCTTTTCCAAAGTTTTGCATCTTCAGAGCCAGTTTCAGGTGATGTCCGCTGGGCTTCACAACTACAGTAGAGCGGCAGGAAAAGAGACAACATTGACTTTATGTAGAAACTTGAATGATAGCTTGACAAAAGTAAACACTGAGCATCAGAGTCAGTGTTTTGGTTTTGAACTGAATGCCCCAGAGGCCATTTTGAACTGGAACACTTTCAAGATCTGCCAGGTCCCTGTGATAAAGTAATTGGGGGTTAGTCACACAGCTTGTGCTCTCTCTCTATGTATGGCTGTATATTATGTCACAGCAGTAGGCCAGACCTACCACACACACACGCACGCACACGCACACTCACACTCACACTCACACAACTCACACACACACACACAAGCTAAATTTAAGCAGACGGATTGTTTTGTTGAATTTCTTTTTGGCAGTAAACAATGTTTCTGTGGTCAGCCGCTCCACTGTTGGCGAGACACAGACAGGGCAGAAAGCAGCATACTGTATACATCAAATATGTTAAGGTCTGTATATCAAAAAGCTAGAGCAGAATTTTTACATTTCTACATAAAAAGTATAGTATAGCTTTATGGATAGATCCTCTCCACTCCTACATAGAAACATTTTGTGTTGTTTTGTGTCTCTCTTTCAGTTCTTCTTTGGCCTTTTTCTGCCTCATTTTGTGTCTTTTCAAGGCACTTTTGTGTGTTCTTGGTCATTTTGTGATTATTTTCATTCAGTTTGTGTCTCTTTATGGTCCTTCTACATCTCTACTTAGTTGTTATGTGTCTCTGAGTGATATTTGTAGGTGGCCTGCGTTTTGATCCAAGGCCTACGCCCAATAGCCCCCATCCATTACACATCCATTTGTACCTGTTATCCGAAAGCCTTAATTATCACCTATACTTACGTAGCCAACAGCTCTAGCCAGCAGTACCACTCAATCCACCATATCTGCCAGTGTTTTTGCTCACATCTATTCAAAGTGGATTTGTAAGTTAACCTTATCCATTAACCATCCATTATTCTATCTGCTGCTTTGGCTTGTCTGCTGCTGAGAGGTACAGTAGAAGAAGAAAGCGTAGGTGGCGGCTGGTGTGTAGGTTGACGCCTGGAAACATCGGCTTCCCACTGAGCGCACCGACATCAAACATTTGCTGTAATTAAGAGCGCTGCCTTTGAACACAACCGAACGCCTGCTTTTTCGCCCCGGAGCAAGTGTCTTACACAGACCAGACAAATCTGGATTTCGATGCCAAACGAATCCTTGCTATCACAAAGCGCAGTGTGTTTGTGTCTGACGGTGCCGCCAAGCACAGAGAGAGAAACAAAGAGACACAAACAAAGAGGCTAGTCAGAAATCGAACACAAAGAAGATAAAAAAAAAAAAACATACCTTGGGTACAATCACACGCTCCTTTTAGGGCCTTCTCATCTTGAGTGTAATCTGTAAGAAGTCAAAGTCTGTCAGCTCGTAATTGAGAAGTACAATAGTTACACTTTAACAACAATCATTTATCACAGCATGGAATTTGACACAGCATCCACTAAGTCAGAAAAGTGCTATATTTATAGGCACAAAACCTAATGGTGGCTCCCAATAACATGAAGCAATCACCATTCATTTCCCCCAGACTTACAGATGTCTTATAGTAATTTATCCGTCTATCCATCGCTCACCTGCGCTAATGACCGACATCCTCTGCATGTCTTTGAGCAGTTTGGGGATAGCGGGGTCGTTGCGGGAGTACAGAGCGTAGCTGCTTATTCCTGAGTGGAACTTCAGCCAGCTGGCTTCAGGGTCAAAGGTCACTTCATGTTCAGTCACTGTGATGTTTGACAAAGCCACTGACTCGCTGTAGAGATGCATATGTCTGAGGAGTAAGAGAAGTAGCAGAGGTTAACTGTAGGACATTAATTCATGTGATGTTACAGCCTTTAATGGGCAGTTTACCCCAAAATCAAAAATACATGTTTTATGTCTTAGTAAAGCATTCAAAAAATCCCTCAAAACCCACCTGTTCAACACTGCATTCAAACTCTGACACCCCCCCCCCATATATTATTTAAGTATTTTTCTTCGTTTTTTTGTTTTATTCTCTGTCAAAACGTCTTTGAGTTTTTAGAAAAGCGCTATACATGTATAAGTGTCATGTATTATTATTATTAGTGTTATTTATATTTTTTAGATTGTTTGCGTGTGAGTTGCAGTGCTCTTAGAGAAAGATGAGTTGTCAATATAATGGAACTACATGCACTTGATTTGTGGTGTTTAACGTGCCAAATACACATTTTGAAAGAGTAAAGAAGATAGTTCACAGACCTTGTGTTTAGCATTTTGACGAGGGAACTATTTTACTTCAACCAAACTAGACCCATTAAGTAGGCTCTAATCACTCTTGGTGTAATAGCAAGAAAATAGGTCTTGCGTGAAACTGTTCAAAACTAGATTTACTCAATCTATCTGGAAAGAGATATTGCTGCTGAGTTTTTTTTTAAATATGTTTTGTACTTTTTGTGTGCCAAGTATTTAAAGGGGACCTATCATGCAAAATGCACTTTTTGATGTCTTTTATACATAAACATGTGTCCCCGGTGTGTTGGGGAACTCACGCAGCGTCAGAAAATAAAGCCCTCTCTCTTTTCCTCCGTACCCAAATCTCTAAAAACGGGGCTACAACGGAGCTGATCCAGATTTGCGTCCGATATGACGTAATATCGGAAATGTAGGCTGGCTTTACACCCACGGCCCTATCAGAAACGTTGCTATCAGAAACAATGCCCGACTGTTTTGGAAGTAATATGGTCGGTGTTTACATTAGCATTGCTAACACTCAGAGCTAACCTGTACTGGAGAGCATGTGTGTGAAGAAGCAGGAAATAAAAAGGAACTCACCTTGTGGTATAACCGGCAAGAGAGAAAGCCTTTGAGCTCCATACTGTTTCAGAAATAATCCTTGATAATCCATGATATGGCGTTTCATCACGGCAGTATTTAGTTTAGATAGTAGCTGCCGGGTCCCGCATGAGCTCAGACCCCTCCTTTTTTATTTAAAATTAATTTTAATTTTTTTTTTTTAAAGCTTTATACCCCAAATCAGCACTTTTGAAACAGGAAGTGAAATAGAGGGATATGAGGCATGGCTAGAATGGGTGATCTGTTTGGTATTTTGAGCAAAACACTTCATAGACATGTTTTTTATATATCTGAGACCTATGCTATTGCCTAAAAATAGCATGATAGGTGCACTTTAAATTACGTTGGAGAAAAGGCAGACATTCTTATTTCCAACACTCGAAAACTCACACCAAAACAATATAGATTGACAAATAGCACTACGGGTAAGTTTGCATTTTTGGGGTGAACTGTCCCTTTAACAGATCAGTTAGAGAAATGTGTTTTCATCTATTTTGTTGTTGCAGAGGGTGGTGAAAGGCATGTCTTTACATAAACAACAATGAGGCAGCTGACTAAAAACGGGTTCTTGCTTGAACTGCATTGCCAAGCTTTGAAAAGTAACCCCAGTGCTTAGGAATCACTTCTTACAACAATTTGGAAAGACCAGAGTCTGAGTGGTAAGGGTGCCAGAAATCCAAGGCAAAGTGCATCCAACAGGTTTTCTTAGCAGCAGCTCTTACAAGAATGTGTTTGAAATGAAAGAGAATATGAAAACACAGCAATGCGAATATTTAATGAAGTTATTATGAACTCTATAACTTTTATTTGTCCCTAAAGCTATATTCTACATTCACATATCACATTTTATTAGTTGTCTTATGAGCTCTCTATTTTTTTAACAGCCGCTGTAAACATTTTGAAAGCCTCCTCTTCTCTCTGCTATACTTAAATCCTGAGCAACAATAATCTAAGACCAAAACAAATACGTTTGTGGGGAGAGCGGCACCACTTTGCCAGAGCTGACCACATTGAGTGGGACAGTCATCTCCAAACCAAAACAAACTTCAGCACACGCTGCATGAAGTGCCGAGATAATAGAGCAAAGAGTGTGGAGTCACTCACAAGATACTAAAGAGGAAGTGGAAAGTGTTATAACCGGTAACTTCTTGCATATGTGCCAGCCACTCATAGACAGGTTTAGCAGGACACATATTTTTAGCTTGTTTCCTCTTATGCATGCCATGAAAAGCGGTTTTCACAGTTCATTTAAGCAATCGAAAAGCTCTCCTGGGTGTGTTTGATGCAGTGATGAGATGCTGTTGCAAGATATTGCAAGTCTTAAAACAAGCCTTTTGGCGTTGTTTTGTGCACATTAGTAAAAAGAAGCAGCAGAGAGACGATCATTGCTCATATTTCTTCTAATTTTCCATCGTGAGAGCCCAAACTCTGTGTATCTCTGTGTCTTGGTAGACAGACAGCCTCACAAGCCAAAGACAGCTCCGGCTCCCACAGATTAAGACGGGATTTAGTAGTTTTTAAATCCTTGTTTACCTTAAAGAGAGCGTGCCAGACGCTAGCCTTCAGGATGACATGTTTGTGAGCGTTTTCTGCCACCAGCCCACTCGACATTGGACTTTTATGACGTACATGAGTTGTCTACACATCCGGATGTGTATCTGTGGGTGCACAGCTGTTATCACGAACAAATGCAAAAGTGTGTTTGCTTGGATGTGTGTTTGTGGCTGTCTGTGTGGAGTCATAGGAATGCCAATAAAAATAAGACTTCTTTAAAAGAAGAGAAATGTGACAATTGAAAGAGGAATAATTAAATGAGTAGAGCTAGTTGGTTGACAGCTTGGACCTTTTTAGAAAAAGAAAAAGCAACAGGGGGAAGTGAAGGAGAAATATTCAGATGGAAAAAGTTGCAATTAAAAATATATATATATATTTCAAGAATATCTCAAACATTTCAATAAATAGATTATTGTATTTTATTATTATTACATTATTAATTATAAATATTTGTCTTTTTGTTCACTTTGATCTGCTATGATTGTATTATTTTTATGTTTCCATATTTATTTATTATTTTATTTATTTATATTTTTATCTACACAACAGATTTGTTGACCTAGTTATTTCTCTTTATGCTTCCCAAAAACATGTTTACTTTACTATTATATTTGGCTTCATATTTCAAAAGTGTATTTGTCTATACTCTTTCATACTTTTTTATGGCCCTCCCATGACTCCGTATATCTGCAGTGGGTTTGGCCGTGATGTCGGTGACCCGGCCCCTCGACCACAGTCAAGCCCCAACGCGTCCCAGAGTGATATCTGTCAGCCTGAATGAACTCTTCTTTCACAATACAGTTGAGTAACACATGCCGTGTTTCAATAATTGCCAGCCATTGCACATCATGCACTGTGAACAAAATAAGCAATGTCTAAATATGTTTTAAAGGTCCCCTATTATACTGTTTTTCATCAATATATTATAGTTCTCAGATATATACAAAACATGTCTCTGAAGTGTTTGGCTCCAAACACCAAACAGATCATTGCAGCATTACCCATAATCCCCTCTGTTTCAGCCCTGTTTCAAAAGTGCTGATTCTCTGTCTGTTACTTTAGATGAAAATAAGGAGACCCTCCCCACGCCCCTCTGAGAGATATTTGGTTACAAAGAACACAATGGTGCTCTAGGAGGAGATTCAGGTGATAAGGTGGGGTGGGGGGTTACCTTGGTTGGTGATTGGCTAATGGTTACACAAGCCAAAAAATCGTTATGACATCATAAAGTGGCCAAAATCTGATCAGCTCATTTTCAGACAGGTTTTTATATAAATGGATCAGGACAAAAAGTGAGCGAATCTTTTTTCCTGAAACGTTCAGAGTCTCTTTACACAGAGGGGACACATGTTGATGTAGAAGAGACATGAACAAGTGGATTTTGCATAATAGGTGACCTTTAAAATTAAGAAAATGACAACAGAAACTGACCTTTCCCAGTGTGCCACCTTCCTCCTGTAGTACTCCATCAGCTGCTCCGCCTGCAGCAGCCTCTCCTCCGAACCCAGCACCGGGGTCTCGATGTTGTACAGAGGGTGGGAGAAGAGCCTCTCAAGTTTCGACCCCCCATCATCAGCGGGTTCGAATGTGGTTTCATACAGAGTCCAGTTAGAGAGCTGTGGGGTGGCGAGACCTCCGTGCCTGGGAAGGGTGAAGTTGTCCGAACCGCATGGGCAAAAGTCTCCGGACCCCAGACCCACGCTCCGCAGCTTTGGCAGGAGGACAAAGTAAAGGTCAGCGGAGAAGATGGCAGTGAGGGTCGCGGCTAAGAGGAGACGGTCCCTCCTCATCATTGAAGCAGAGAGTTTAAAATATATAGGAAGCTAAGAAAAGTCCGGATTATGTGTTGCTCCTCAGAGCGCGAGGCATCACTTGTAATCTCCCACACAGTCAGCCAGGCAGAGAGAAACACTCAGAGGTTGGTCCAACTCTGTCTCTTTTCTATCTGTGTGTTTCTGTCTGTTGCTTCCAGCTTCACTTTTCCTCCTCCCTCCTCCTCCTCCTCCTCCCTTGGCAGCAACTGAGTGTGCGTTTGCAGCTGACAGTTCGTCTGTTTCCAGCGACCTGCTGCTCTGAGAGTGTGTGTGAGAGAAGAGAGGGAGCGCATGTGTCAGTGAGTCTTCTGTGGGTGTGTATGTGCAGGTGTGTACACAAACAGCCAATGACAGGTTAGTAGATTAAGAGTGCAATGAGGGTGTATTAAACACACACTCCGAAGCCCTTGGCAGCAGGAAGAGGTGGAGACTGCACTTCTTCTTGTCACAGCCGATCTGAATGAAACCAAGTCCAGCTGGCGTATCTGATGCAATGTGTGTGTGCGGGTCCAAGTCCAGTTTTCATTCAAGTGTGTGTTTGTGTGTCAGGCTGACCCGATTTTCTGGCATGTGAGTGGGCATGTGTAGATTCAAAGGTGTAAGAGTGTGTGTGACTTGCCTTGACAGCACAAGAAGGCGTGGAGACAAGATTCCCGTCCCCTTGTCATCTTCCAGTCTCATCCACATTAAGTCCACTTTCACGCTTCCTTCATCGCGACAAATCTCCTCTCCTCCTCCTTCTATCCCATGCTTTCATCTGATCCCTGCTTCAAAACTTTCATCTTCTTTGCTCTTCTGCCATCTTCTCTCCGCTCTTTCTCTTTCGTGGCTTTTTCGCCACAGACCTGTAGCCTGTTTTGCTCCGGGCAGAAATTCCCAGCTGCACTTTCCTTCCTGCAGCAGTTCCCACAACATAAATCCCTCGCTGCTCTACAGAGAGACACAAGTTCAGAAAAGGCAGTACTGAGAGAAAAAATACAAACTCTTGCACAACTTCAAATGAGAGAACACGCAGGGAGAAATAACACCTCCCCTCGTTCACAGACGACCTTTTCTTTGCTCTCCCCCCTCTCTGATTCCTGTGAAAACATACAGTGTATAAATTACGTTCGCTGCTTGTTGGCCATTACGGCTCTAAAAGCCCTAAGCCGCTTTGTAGCAGCAATGAAGACCTCTCAGGGCATTTCCCAGCCTGCGTCTGCGCTGTTGTTAATGTGGTATTTTGAAACATCTGTCGTGTGTGTGTGTGTGTGTGTGTGTGTGTGGGGCAACATTACGCATGAGTGTGGCAGTTGTTCTCCAGGGTGTTTTACCTTCTTCTACGATGTTGGAAATTAGTGAAAGGAATCTTTAACCTGCCATTTAGCCAGATTGTAAAAGAGCTGCTGTTCTGCCTACACACACACACACACACACACACACACACACACACACACACACACACACACACACACACACACACACACACACACACACACACACACACACACACAGGGTGATTGCCCCCTGAAAGGTATTTGAAGAACACAAAAAGAGATTGCTTTTGTTGTTCTCATGACTCAAATGTATGATGTTAAAATATTTGCTTTTAGACCAACAGAAGCCATATTTTCCACAGATGGATTAGTTTTCCAATTTAGGTTTCTGTCGATGGTACATGGTCTTTTGAAATTGTATTTTCAAAATGACTTTTAGGTAAAAAAAATCCTTAAATTGAAGGTCCCACTGTCACAGGCAAAGCACTGAGAAATGTATGAATGTGTCATTTAGTTTTTTTATTATATACGTTATCACTGAATTTGTGCTAATTAGCAACAAACTGGTGATATTTCTGACAATGCGACACATTTCAGTAATGCTTTGTTGTCTTACGCCTGTGTAGTCTAGATGACTGGCCCTGTTTGTCCCAGCTGTGTCTGTTTGTGTTTATCCCAAAGAAAGCTCGCTTCCAACCCCGCAAAACATCCAGACCGGTGCTTAAAATAACCCCGATTACAGGGATGAGCGGGCAAGCATGCATAGAAGATGCAATATCGAATATGAGAAGAAAGCAAGCGTGAATAGAGCATTGAGTCTTCTGCCGACTATTTGTGCAATTCAGTAGAGCTTTGATGATGAGCACAGGGTTTGGTGGAGAAAGATGAGATGGCTCATGTTTTGTTTGTTTGGATGACCCAGAAAGTCTCAAATATCAAGAAATGTCACACTGCTGATAAAACACAACAAGAGTATTGTGAAGCTGCTATTTCACAAATACAAGGGGAACATGTAGCGATAAAAACACTTAAAGGTGGGGTATGTAATTTATTTCAGAAACACTTTTTGTTATATTCCATGGAATGCTCTTAACATCCCGATAGCAATGAATATATTAAATGCTTTGACAATACATAAAATATCTCATCTGTGGAAGCCGTAATACTGTAAAAAGCACGACCAATCATCTGAGCCGGCCCGGGTAAAATAACTGGATGGCCTACCTGCCTGTCAGCCTTCCATCTGTGCACAAACTTATCTCGTGCCCTCATTGGTCATGTGCGCGTTAGTGTGTGTTGGAGGAGGGGCTCTGTAAGGAAGTCTGAAGGAAGAGGCAGATTTTTTCCGGTTGTGTACTTCAAATTCTAGCGCACTCGAGCTGATTTCTCCAAAATTACATACCCCACCTTTAAAGCAGTAGTTCACCAATCTGGGAATTAGCCTATCATTAGCCTAGCATAGTTTATGATTGGCGAAACAGCTAGCTTGGATCTATCAGAATGAAATAAAATATAATGTGCCAGAATATTTATATGTTGTGGGTAATAACTTCACGGTTAACCTCACAATGACAACAACAAGACTCCAAGGACTGAGTCAAATAGCACAGAGCACAAAGAATGAAGGCTATTAAGGACTGCTAGTTAGCCCTCAGTTAGCTTAGCTGAGCTGGAAGCAAGGAGTGTTGTCATCCTACAGAAAGAAACCCTCTATTTAACTACAAGTTTTGTAAGAATGAAACAAACATATTAACAAACCTAATGCAAAAGTGGCAATAGACATGCTTTTTGCTTTCAATTATTATAATACATTAATACAATGTAATGCTATGACAATAGTTTCACTATGTTATTCTGTCTGCCTTCAGGCCTGTTCTCCAGGGAAAATGAAGGATCGATTCAGGGCACAAAGGAACTGTGTCAACCATTGTTCCATCAAAGCAGAACGAAGGTAGGATTATGTTTCAGTTTTAGCCATCACCGGTTACCAAAGAGTATCAATGTTCAGTAAGTTCTTTACAAAATATCCCCAGTGGCTCAATAGGCGGGCAGTGAGACCACCTCAGTAACAAAATGCTCTTCTGTCATGTGTTGTCGATTGTTGCTAGTGTCACGCCCTGGCTCAAGGACGGACAAAAGAAGGAGACCACACATGATTCATATCCAATTAAAGTGCATTTATTTAAAAGGGGACCTATCATGCAAAATGCACTTTTGTACGTCTTTTATACATGAATATGTGTCCCCGGTGTTCCAGGGAACTCACCAAGTGTCAGAAAACACAACCCTCTCTATTTTCCTCCATACCCAAATCTCTAAAAAAGGGGCTGCAACGGATCTGATAAAAACTGATCCAGATTTGAACACTGTCCTGACGTCAGGACGGTGGCGCTACGGCTATTGGGCCAACTCCACCAATCAGGAGGAGACAGCCACGGCCATTGCCGTTCGAAAGCGCTGTAGTACATATGCCAGGCCTGTAGATGGTGCTGTTCTGCCCTTATCTTCCCTTACACAAACAGAGCTAAAACATGTCAAATTGAGCAAAATGAGGCATGGCTAAAATGCATGATCTGTTTGGTATTTTGAAAAAAAAAAAAAAGTATAAATATGCCTTATATAGGTATGGTCCTACACTATATTATTCAAATATAGCATGATAGGTCCACTTTAAAGTTAACTATGAAGTCAGTTAATCAGTAATGTGTGTAGTGTGTGTACATGCATCAGTATATAAAGCACGCACAAACAAACAAACAAACAAACAAACAAACAAACAAACAAACAAAGGTCCAGTAGAGCCAAGCAACTCAAGAGGAGAGAGAGACTGACTCTCTGCTCAGGCACCCATACTTGTAGCTGAGCAGTCAACCAAAATCAGGTGTCAGCAATCTCTCCTGATTTGGGGAGTGGCTAACCAGGGACCTGAGTCTAAAGCCTAGGGGCCGTCACACTAGCAGGAAAACAGATAGCACGGATATGATCTGGTTGTCTTTGCAACACGCCGCCAACAATAATACACTTGGAAACACTAGGGAGAAAAAGTTTAAAAGTTGATGCTGGATGGAAGATTTCCTTTTTATATTCACTAGCCATTTCCAGTCTCTATGCTAAGCTAATCGACTGCTGACTCTATCTTTCATTTTGCCTACAAACACAAGGGATTTGAATATTCTCATCTAACTCTCAGCATAAAAATGACAAGACTATTCACTTTAAAAAAAGATAAGGAAGAGATGACTTCTCAGTTTTCAGCCCACATAAATTGGCACATACAGAAATGCACACAATATAAAGGGAGGAGATTGCAGCAAAGAGAAGAGAGGATTAAAAAAGATGGAAAAACCAAGTGAAAGATTGAGAGAAATTAAGTTAAAACAAGAAAAAGAGGAGATGAGAAAGGCATGCATGCAAACCCAGATTTTTCCCATTACAGAATGGCAGTATTCCTAATTTTCTTCTGTTATCCCTCTTTTATTATCCTCTCAAATCAAAATGTCTGGACAACTTTAGCCTGAGCGCTTCAGCCACAGCTGGCATAAAAAGGAAGTGGAGCTGCGCCCTCACATTCCTCCAGAATTGATCGAGACATTTATAGTCACTATATATTATAGTGGGCTGACCAGTATTTTTATCCTGGCTGCTTCTCGATGTCCACAAACCTATACAATTAGGACTCCAGTATTTACTGTACATACTAGAACAGTCATGAGGGGAAGAGCGCTTTGAAACTCAAATAGAGATTATGGCATTTTTCCCTAAAAGCAAGCACTTCAAGTCCCAATAAAATGGTCTGTCTGTTCATTTTGGAGCTAGAAAGTATGCTTATCTTAGCATAAAAACTGGAATCTAAGCGAAACAGCCAGCCCGGCTTTGTCCTAAGGTATCAACATCTAACCATCACCTCGAGGGCTGTTCGCCTAGCAATTTCACAGTGATGACTAGAAAATAAATACAGTTGTCTGATGCAGTAGACTGGCATATAACCCCTCTTAAAACCATAAATTGCAGTTTTTACACAAACAAGATATGTGTTAATGAGTGGGTTTTGAGACTGTGTTAGCTTTTTCTAATCTGTTTACGGTCCTTTTGCTAAGCTAAGCTAATTGGCTGCAGGCTGCAGCTTCATATTTACCGTACAAACATAAGCAAGGAATAAATCCTCTGATCAAAGAAGTAAGAAAGCAAATATCACTTTTTGCGAAATGTCAAACTTTATTTGAGAACATACAGTAGAAGTGCAATAAAAATATAATTATTGATGATTTGTTTGTGCAGTCCGTTAGAACATACTGTACAGATAGGTACTTAAGTAGGGAAGGAATAGCAAATCTGTCTAATGCAGGGCCAGAGTCTGATGGGGACAAAAACAGCCAATCAACAGTGATCCGTCACGTCTCCTCTTGTGACACGAAGCTACCGCCTGGCAGAAGTCCTTGCACAGATACTGACACACACATTTGATGGTTGGATGCATTGGTGGATCGAAGGAAAGAAGGCCAGATGGGTTTGACAAGTGTTTATACTCGTCGGCTGCTGATTGTGTGTTTACAGGTTACCATGGGTTGCTGAGGAGGCTTGTGGTCATTCTCTGCCAGGCTGGTGGGTGAAGCTACAGTGGATGACAGGAGACAACGTTAGTTAATGTGTGTGTGTGTGTCCGTGTGTGTGTCCGTGTGTGTGTCCGTGTGTGTTCCTAACTGTTTCTGCCTGGGTGTGGTTGCAGAGAGAGCACAGCTAATCGCTTATTTTGGCAACTTCTGAGTAATGGAGAGACAGTGAATGGAAAATGTAGGAAATGTTTTGCACAAACACACACATATGAACACACATATGAACCTTGAGCATGCGTGCGCTTAATTCGATTTTTTATAATCTGGCTTTCGTCTCTGGAGCCGAACATTGCCCAAATGTTCCCGAGCTGAGCTGCAGACTTCAGAGGAGGAGAATGTGAGGAATGCTCTGACTTTTCTCTCCATAACGCGGAGAAATTGGACATGAAATAATCAGAGTATCAAGTTTAATTAACTTGGAAGGCCCTCCTGACCTGTACATTTAAAACTATTTTATATATACACACATACTCGTGTAGAGGGATTCTAGCAATAGTGGTAATTACTGGAAAGGGACATTCCCAGTGCAGAGCCGTGTGTGTGTGTGTGTGTGTGTGTGTGTGTGTGTGTGTGTGTGTGTGTGTGTGTGTGTGTGTGTGTGTGTGTGTGTGTGTGTGTGTGTGTGTGTGTGTGTGTGTGTGGTGTGTGTGGTGTGTGTGTGTGTGTGTGTGGTGTGTGTGTGTGTGTTGTGTTGTGTGTGTGTGTGTGTGTGTGTGTGTGTGTGTGTGTGTGTGTGTGTGTGTGTGTGTGTGTAGCATTTCTAGACATCTGTTTGCACTGATAGATTACCTTCAGAGCAGCATTCCTCCTGTGATGCTCGATCCCTGAAGGCGTGTCCAGGTACTTGACCTTTGAGCCCCAATTCGTCACTCTCAGTCCTGTCCTCTGTGTCTTCTGTCAGTTCTCTTTGAGCCTTTCTATGAATGTCAACAAAAAGATATCATTATTTGACCTGTATACACACAGCTGTTTACTTTAGATTGGACAGGTTTCCCAATTTTGTTCGTGTCACTGAACTAGACCGGATCAGTGCTCAATGCTGGATCATATTTTTGTCTGATACCTGTATGAGTGTTGAAGTGTGTTGATTTAAACCAGAACGTTTGCTGTTTCCCATTTCTGTGGTTATACTGGGCCCGCACTTGGGTACTCTGTGTTCTCTGTGTGTTGGTGGTGTGGTGTGGTGTGTGTGTGTGTACGTGCGTGCGTGCGAGGACTTAGTTTCTGGGGTAAATATAACCCTACTGACGGTAATTTCAACATATTACATTTTTCCTCTGATTAGCTGTTCAAAAAACATCTGAAAGGTTTGAGACTTTTGTGGCAAAATGAGTTTAAAACTAAATGTCCTGAGAAAACCTCTCGTGCAATTATTCTTATGTGGAATTCTTTGATGCATTATAAAAATAGGTGGGAGAGTTATAAAACACTTGTGGAAGAGCTTAAGCAGAGACATTGAAATGTTTTCTAGTGCTCTTTGGATGGTCGACCAATCAGAAGCCACAGAGAGTATAGTGCAGAGAAGTTAATGCAAACAACATAATTGCCTCTTAGACCCCAAAACCACAAAATGTATATAAGCGTGCTATATAATGTGCTAACTCAGTCTTTCACTTTAGTGCACAGCTTTCATGTCTTGATGTAAGTTATTTCAGAGAGTTCTTTCCTTTATACTTCATTTTACCCAGGATGTGACAGAAATACATTCAAGCACACAGGGCCAAGCCAGAGTTTATGATCTTTAACCAAACTGGAGTTCCTATTAAAGACTCAAACTCCTGTGGAAACAACAAGGGAACTTTCTTTTGAAGGAAGCACTCACCCATGACATATTCCGTCTATATTAGATTTTGAATGAACCTGTTGACATAATTTACTTTGTTGGACTCTCCTGTTGACTCCACCAATGTTATACTAAAATCCCCAAAAGGCTGCCACGTTTACACTCGTTATCCTCAACATTTGGAATGTATGATTCAATATGCTTCACAAGCAGCATGTTGACTCATTTTATCCTTGTATTTTAAGCATTCATGCCCTCAAACATGGAAGCGTGAAGGCTGAAGCTCAGCCGCTACGGTTAGCAGATGGCTAAACTATTAGCAACAATTGCCAATATTGAAGTTGTTTTTGCTGCAGGATCTTCTTGTTCAAGCATGCTTTCCCTCATTTGAAGGGACATGCACTTATGTCCAATGGAAAACTTTCTGTTGTGTGTAATAGAGAAATGTTATACTCACTTACTTACTTTAATAATATCATTGTGTGATTCTTATTTGCTAATGTTTATCTATATTTGCTACTTTCACTTCTTTGCTAAGCTTGGGAAAATTCCTTATTAAGAACATTTGTTGCAGTGTTGGTTACAGTCCATGTGCACCAACAGTACTATGACCTTCAACTCAGGTGAACTGAGAACATCCTGATATGGCCTCCCTACCTCCCTAACTTCCAGAATGCTCCTTTCATTATCACCAAGCTTCACCCCTCCCTTTCTCCTCTCTCTGTGTTTAAATATGCAACCCAAACTCTTACTCTTCGTGTTTTCACTCTGCACTGTATGCTCAGACTGACTGAACTTTCTTGCAAGAAATAAAATACGACAAAGAAAGCTGAATGGTTTGATTCTCTATCCAAATTTGATAAATAAATTCCCACCACAAGTGTGAATGGTTTTCCATCACAGGCTAGATTTTCAAAAGCTGTAAACAGAGGCAAGAGGTGCAGAAATCTAGTCTCCTCTCAGACCCAATGCATTTTATGCTTAAATATTATTATGGAACTTTTTCGCCAACGATGCCCAAAAAACACCTGCCAAAAAAACAATTTTAATACGATTTGGTACATTTTCACATTATTTCACATACTCATTAGCCTCACCTTTGATAAGTCTCTGGCTCTGAGATATTCCACATAACCTCCTGTCCGAAGAAACCCACATGATCTCCCTCCTTTGTCCACAGTCCAGCAGAGCCATCACTCGAGGCTGTGAGGACGAACAACCTGCCGGACACCTCGAAGACGTCCACGCTCACTAACGCTCTCTCATGAGCTCTCCATCGCTGCAGCAGAGGAGGCCGCTCACACACTGGCTGTGAGTAAAGAGAACACCTCAGGTAAAGGTGGATTTACCATACATTACACACTTTTTTATTTGATTGACTCCAACTTACACTCTCATCATGTCGGACGTCCAGTCCATAGTCACTGATGTCCCAGATCTGAAGCCAGCCGGTTGTATCTCCAGAGACCAGGATGGTGTTTTGAGGCTGATCCGAGCTCAGGCTCAAAACACGCTCACCGGGCTGCTCTGGAGAATAAAACTGGCCTGAAATCAGAAGGTAAGAAAATGAAATGCACAATGTTAAATCTTAAGGGTTCTGACTACAGTCTGCTGTTGTTTGTTTTCTTGAAAGTCTACAGGGAGGAAGTTGCATGCAAGTCAATCTAGCTACTCAGGTTTGTGCCAGTTTCAGAAATACAAGATTCAAGCTTCAAAGGCTTTATTGTCATTTGCACAATAGCTGCAGCTGTTGGCAATGAAAAGTCCAAGGCTTCTCCAACAGAGCAACATACAATGCATTTAAGAAGAAAATAACGACGTCAAATTGTGAGAGAAAAAGTAAATTGTGCAAGTTGCTCAGGTAAAAGGTACATTATTTATGTATAAGATGAAACAAAATGTAAAATTAAATACGGTACAGTAGAATAAAATACTTCTTATTGTAAATATATATAAAATATGTGGACTGCAAACACTTTACAGAGCTCAGGAGTTTTTCAGTTTGTAGGATAATACTATCTTGACTTCAATGACAAATATACTTCTGAGACAAATGACTACCCTTGAATGTTATGTCACACATCTCCCAATTATGTCACACTCTCAAAATCCTCTCTGGAGACACACACACACACACACACACACACACACACACACACACACACACACACACGCACACGCACACACACACACACACACACGCTGGCTCACTCCCATGCCAGCTCATACACACATGCATCTCTCACAGTTCATGAATCCCCGACCACTAAACACAGATGGGCCCTGGAAAGAGGAATAGTTGAGGGCTGGCAGGAATGGTGGAGGCGGCCGGCCACAGTTCAGCCTGACTGCCACTGCTCTGTCTGTTTGTGAATCCATCTCACTGGAGGAGCATTCAACCTGACAGCTGCTTGTCAACTGCTCTGGTGCATCAACCTCTGTCCTGCTGTGAGAGTTTTATTCTAACTTCATGAACTTTTTGCACCTAGTTTCATCATACCTCCGTGTTCCCCCCTCACCATAGGTGTGTGTCTGTCCAGTGATGCTCCAGAAGCAGAGACAGCCGGCCTGCGATGACACCAGGACGCCTCGGTTTCTCAACTTCCTGTTGCTAGCTCGGTGCTGCAGGAACAGCAGGCCGTCCACAGGGGGCGCCGCTCTAGATGTGTATAAGCAGAGAAATAAACAAAAGGGCCACAACAATGCATGTAGACCACTGATGACGAAGGGCTTTTGACACAAAAAAGTTTTCCTACCAGACTAGAGAAGTGAGATTAATGGTTAGAGAAAGAAGATGAAAAAACAAATGTCTGCTACATGATTTGTATTTTTCATTTTTCCCTTTTCTCCTGACCTTTGCTTCATATGGGAGATATTGCATTATGCTAGCTTTGAATGTGATGAAGAGCCCCAACTAGACCCCTATGTAAGGGGTCACACATTTTTGGAGCCATGTTTGTTTCATCTTTAAAAACAAATTGTATTTCATAAGCGTATTTATGTTTTTTTTCAAGCAGCACAATCATTTCCTCTGATCTGTAGGGAAGTAGGAGTATAAGGTAACATACAACGGAAATGCAAAGTACAGTACAAGCACCTCAAACATGTATTTACGTGCAGTTCTTGAGTGATTGTGATCTGCTGTGTTCCACCAGTGACTACAGCTTTTGCTATCTTTACATCACCGTTGTGTTTTCTCACCCTGCCTGTGTGGGTCTCTGCAGGTGGAGCACCGGCCCCTGTGTCTCCAGCCTCCAGATAATGACCTCTCCATCATAGCTTCCTGTGGCGATGACCCCCAGAGGAGAGCACTGACTCACAGCCAGGATGTCAGATTTGTGGACACCGCTGGACTTCCACGACATGTCTGCTCTTACATACAAATCCTATATGTGAGGTAAATATAGACATGTACATATTAAACACCAGCTATATGGTTTGCAGACGGTTAAAGTTTTAACACAAATATTGACCTTGTTTTACCTTTAACTGTCAGACTCTTTGTTTGATAAGTCTGTCTTTCCTGCTTTGAAATGTAGGCAGATGTTTTCCAATGGTGGAATAGCTCATTTTACTGCCCATTTTTTGTGTTTTATCAGGCTTTTCCTTATCTGAAAGAACACACTTGCATATGCATGTGTAGAAGAGCCAATAGAACGCCTTTTTCTTGATTGATATTATTGGCTTTTCATCAAAATAAAGTACTCTTCTCTCAGACGAATTGAATTATATGCTGAAATATTCTGGATCTTTTGCCCAATGATGCCCAAAGAACACCTGCAAACCACAGATTTGAATACAATGTGGTCATGGATGCACTGGTGTTTCATTTGTGTGCAGTTTTCAGGTTGAAAAGCAGCAGTTGTTGCTAAAATAGAAAACGTTTCTCAGAAAACAAAAAGTACAATGCTCTCTCCAGGCTTTCACTGTGTGGGTGAACTTGTTGCCTGAAATTGTGAAACTCTCTGCACATGGCTTCCCACCGTGTGACAGTTTACAAACGGTCTGAAACAACATCTAATTATTTGTGTTGCCTTGTGGAAAGCAGCTCCATTTCCCTCTCTGCTTTACTGATCTTGTTTACACCTCTGGGCTACAGTGAGGTCAGCTCTTCAAAATGAATCTGGAGGCTCAGCATGGTAAACTTCAGAGGAATACAACTGCAGATGTCTCGCATGGCACACATGTCTTTAATCTCCCCAGGTGCATGCAGGGTAATTTACATCATTCGCTGATATCATTTACTCCTAAAAAAAACATTGGAAACCCGCCTCTGCTGAAACATGGAGCGAAACATTATGAGGGAGTGGGGGAAAACCAGCACGGAGAATTTGCTGGAAAAGCACGAGTACTGAATGTTACTACTGTTTTTAAGGGATGGATCTAACCGCAGACAGAGCAGATGTTGCTTAAAGGTGGAGAGGTCAAATGTAACACAAGGATTTGAGGTGCCAAAATATGCACATTCGGACTTCTTTATAACATACATCGGTTCATATGTGTGTTTATACTGGCACTGGCAATGCTTAAACTTGAATTCTTGAAACCAGGGGGTCAGCATGTGGTGTTTTAGACATTTTTACTTCCAAGAAAAGACACAAGAGGTCTGTTTTTAAAGATATTTCAGATTTAACAACATATCTATTGGATTTAATCAAATACTTCTTCTACTCTAGACTGATTTAAAGAACTTAAGCTCAAGCTGTGTTTTAAGACTTTATCAGATTAGTCACTGACAGCTGTTTGTGTGGGATTCATCCTCCACATCTGGGGAAGAACTTGTGGCCGAGCTTAAGTGTGAAGGATAAGACATCTTGATTGAGTCAAGCTTTTTGGTTATTAGGTTATGTGTGCTGCTTTGTTAATGGGTTTAATGCTGGAATTTGCTGTTTCACTTGGCGGTGCAAAGAAGAGCATACTCCCCAGAAGAGACCCAGCAGATATGCACGATAGAAATGTAAGAATGTCTGCATTTTTGTTTTATTTTGTTTGTGTCCAATCCAAGCCACCTTGCAGCAATGGGCCAAAAACAGCAGGAGGAATAAGACTGCCAACAAGCAATATGATTTCAAATTCTTGTAATATTTCTAGATATCTTTAGTATTCTTTCTATATTGTCTTTCATTAAACACCCGTTTATCAGACATAGCAGTGGAACATTTTTCACCCTGGTGGTAAATCGTTCTAGTTTAAAAAGTGGTTGATTATCACCTTGTAATCATCTTTAATTGTACCTTTGCAGCTGCGACGTCGTACTGAGCGACCCGCCGACTCCATCCCACAGTCAAAAACTGGTTGTCATGGAGACAGGTCAACCCGGTGACTTCGGAGGTGTCGACGGGCTCCATTTTGTGCAAGTTCAGGCCGTTAAGTAAGTTCCACACCTGCAAATTAACAAACTCTTTTCATGCTCTTATAACGACTCCTGAACCTGGAAATCAATTATTATTTGCACTTTCTGTTCCCTCGTCACACAGTTAATGTCTTTTGAATGGGTTTTTGGTTAGATTCCCAAAATAGGGTGGGTTGTGTTCAGGTGCTTATGAGATTTTCACGTTAGTAAATATAAATAAATCAATGTCCGAAGTTCCTACGCGTCTTAAAATTGTCGGTTGCCCTCAAACGGCTAAATGAGAATACTACTCGTTATCATGCTGAACATTAGCCGCCTTTAGCTTAGTGCAGGTGACAGGAAGTCATCAAGTGATCCTCATCAAATCAAATCAGATTTAATTTATACTGCCCAATGTCACAAAACACTTTACAGATCGTCATGTTATTGGTTTATAGCCTAACGTAAGCTTTCTGTTTCCAGCGATTGCATTAATGCTTCAACTAATATAAAGGTGTTGTTATGAAGATATTAACTTTCTGAACAAGTGTAAATATCACTTGTGTTTGCCCCAAATCTTATTTTATAAACTATTCAAAAAAGCCCATTTCTTTTAGTCACCCTTGCACTGCTAACATATGGGTTGGCTTACTAAAATATGTCATCACTTTGCCACGTTATTGTATCAAATTCACAGTATTTTTGCACAAACTGATAATGAGAAGTGGTGTTTAACCTTAATGGTGCCGTTGCGCGCCCCAGTGATCAGTCTTCTGTGGGAGGAGTCTAGTGTCATGCAGGTGATCCCCTCTTCTCCGTGAGCGTTTAGGATCTGAAGCCGCCTCCTCCCGGTCTCGACGTCCCACAGAGACACAGACGAGTCTTCATGTCCTGTAGCCACCTGTCTCAAAGTGGGGTTGTACAGAGCACAGGAGAGAGGGGGACCACTTTGAATATTTGGTCCAGGTTCCCTTCCTTCTTCGGTCAACCATCCGCCCCCTCCTCTCCTTCTTTCAGACAGACTGAGCACAGCTAGGTAATCTTTGCATGCCACCGCTAAGAGAGGCTGCTCAGTGAGCGGGGGGCTCAGCAACAGGAAGGGGAAGTTTCCGTGTTCTGGGATTCGACCCGGCTGCTGGCAGGGGAACTGCAGGGCGACGCTCTTCAGACACTGATGGCTGGAAATGTCCCAAACCCTCAGCTCCTGACAAAGGAAAAAAGACATTAACTAGAAGAACAATAAATAAAGATGCTTTGTTGTGATATTCAAAACAAAAACCAATGCGATTGACATATTGAAAAAAAAGCAATAGAAGTGGTTTTTGAAATATTTTGAAGGCCAGTTTTCTATTTTAAATTCATTTTGTATGACTCATACAGAGGTGTTGCAGATTACCAGTTTTACAGACAAAAACTACGATATTTAAAAAACGAAAATTGATGTCATTTTAATTACCAATATGATAATATAGTGTAAATAACTCATAACGGCTCTTAAATAATTTCTATACTGTATCTTTCCATTCTTACTTTAAGATTCTCTCCCCACCTTCATGGACTAGTATTTTGAGTGAAATTAAGTTGCCAGAGTTCACTGTAAACAAAGTGAAATGTAAATTTGACTGATATTTTTTCTAGTTCTATAAATATTGTTTTTGTCATTTAACTTGGCTTTGAAAATCTGACATCTAGCAGCACTCACAGCATCTCTGGAGTAGCTGAGGATCTGCCCCACAGGTTGGTAGATTTTAACATCGAGCACGGCGGTGCGGTGACCGAGCAGCGAAGCTACGGGACGCGAGGTGATGAAACGAGTCCACAGTCTGACCGCTCGGTCACAACCTCCGGTCACCATCAGCTGCAGAGACGCGTCGTAGTCAAAACATTTAGCTCCCTGAACCGAGACAGATAGACAGAGATGTTGCTGTGTTAGAGGTCCCCTATTATACTGTTTTTCATCAATATATTACAGGTCTCAGATATATACAGAACATGTCTCTGAAGTGTTTGGCTCCAAACACCAAACAGATCATTGCAGCATCCCATAATCCCCTCCGTTTCAGCCCTGTTTCAAAAGTGCTGATTCTCTGTCTGTTACTTTAGATGAAAATAAGGAGCCCCTCCCCACGCCCCTCTGAGAGATATTTGGGTAAAAAGAACACAATGGTGCTCTAGGAGGAGATGTAGGTGATAAGGTGTGGGGGGGGGGTTACCTTGGTTGGTGATTGGCTAATGGTTACACAAGCCAAAACATCGTTATGACATCATAAAGTAGCCAAAATCTGATCAGCTCATTTTCAGACAGGTTTTTATATAAATGGATCAGGACAAAAAGTGAGAGAATCTTTTTTCCTGAAGCTTTCAGAGTCTCTTTACACAGAGGGGACAAATGTTGATGTAGAAGAGACATGAAAAAGTGGATTTGAGAGGCAATTAAGACAGTAAACTTTGCCCTTTACTTATAACACTGGGGGATAAAATAGTAAATACAACTGGGGAGATTTCATTGTTAAAAAGTCCAGACAGTTAACTGGAGAATAACATAAGTGTGCTCATAAAAAAAACCCAATGTGAATAACAGGAAGCATCCCCACCCAGTTTAATAATGTTGTGTGCTCCAGCATTACTTCTTTCTTCCACAGTCACTGTCTGCCTCTGTTTGGGGGCAGGAGTCAACCTAAGCAAAAACTAAATACTAATACTTTTGCCTCTAGATAAAAATAGCTAGGGATAATTCCCTGCATGAGTTATGTACTATTTGGATTTTAGCCAAAAAAGGTCATTCATTGATTTATAAACAATTGTAATGGAGTGCAAGTCAGACTCAACCCCCAGAGTTAGGTCAGGGTCACCCAGACCGGAGTACTGTGACCTCCATATGACCTCAAAACCACATCAAAAGTGGATAACAACAGAAATCATTACACTCCCTTTTGACTCTTCACATGATATTTCCTCTCACTACTTTTCATAGGGGAATAAATGTCTAGAAATAAACTTAGGATGCAAAAAAACATACGACAATATACCAAAAGAGCACAATAATATACTATAAGTAAAAGATTTAGGGATAACATTTACAAAACTACCTTGCATCTACATTTTCATTTGTACATTTCTAAAAGGCCCATCAAAATGATACGTATTGATATGAACTAATAGGAATAAATGACATATAATAACCTATTATTAAACATGTCAGTTACCTGCTTAAATGCCCAAATGTAAGGCTCCTGCTTCAGTGTCACGTTCATAAAAACTACCGAGGTGTTGTCACTCTCTGATGACGTCATGACGACGTTGGTGCCGGGCTCGAACATCACTCTGGTGATCGGCTCCTGGTGGACGCTGGGGATGTGACGGTAGGACACCATGCTGCTGTGTTCACCGAGGTCCTGTTGTCAAGATGGATAACATAGGTGCTTAAAGTAATCATCTCAAAGATTTTTGGTTGAAATTATTTCTTTAAAGAGCTTGAAATGAGGCAAAAGAAATGGTGATTATCAACCAAACGCACTGTTGGCTCCCGCTGCAGAGGAATTAAGTAATGAAAGTTTTACTTTTACAAAAACAACATGTAGAAGAGAATATAGGAATAATATAGGAAAATGTAGCTTGTTAACGCCCACACAGATTTTGGTTGAAATGATTTCTGTAAGGAGCTTAAATGAGGCAAAAAATAATGGTGATTGCTCCGATGAAAGCTCTTTGATTTGCAGTATTATGAACTGGTTGTCTCTGGTGACATTTCCATGAAAAAGTACAAGCAGTGTTCAGTTATTGAGGTGTTTTTCCATCACCCAGCAGAGGTAAGTACCCCAAATTAAGCAGAATTATGGCAATTGTGCACAAAGGCGTAACGTTTTCTGTTAATAGGGCCGAACAAACAAAGTGTTTTCAGACAATGAAACATGCAATCCAAAGAAAAAGAGACAAAAACACACCTGCAATTATCGCATATCACCATAGGTGTCGCCAAAGACACCAAAAGGGACATTCAAAATTCAAGGCGTTTACTGTCATTTGTACATAGCTACAGTGTAGTTATGAGTCTTATGACAATGAAAATCTTAGGTCACATGCTCCTCAGACAGTGCAACACAATAAAAACAGATAATAGTTCAAGTAAATAAAATAGAATATAATAGAAATAGTGCAGAATGGTCTATATACAATTAATTGGAATATTGATATGAGTTGCAAACAGATGATTGTTATGGATGTTCTTTCAAAAGTACAGGTGTTCAACACACACATTTTGTGAGTGTGGTTTGTAAAATTGGAGTGTTATCAACAAGTGTTTGTCGTTGCTTTCTGCTGTACTGTACACAGGGCCAATCTTACTGGGAAGAAGATCCTCTGTGGGCCGCTCTCTGTCTTGGAAGGACTCTTGAAAAGACCTTTGGATGGATTCAGGAACCACAGGAGATGGACTCCTCCTTTGTCATCCCCCATGAGCAGCAGAGAGGGTTGCTCTGGAGACTGGGAAGGAAAAACAACACAGGTTCAAGTAATGAGTTTATGCATTTAGAGTGAATATATCTCATTAAGGTGTGGTCCTACCTGAGCATCATGCCAGTAACAAAGCGCCGTCGGGACACTTCGAAACCCTTCATATGGGACAAAAAAACACTTAAGAACTGATATCTTTGGGCTAAAATGAGTTGTTACATGTTAAATATCAAGTAGAATAGAATAGCATAGAATCATTTATTGTCATTATACTGGTACAATGAGATGAGTAGAGCTACTCCTTTTTTTAAGGTGCCATCAAACATACAAAAAACAAACGAGACGTACAACATTCAGGAGGAGACAACATACAAACAACACGCATTCATACGTCAATATGCATATAAAGTTAAAGTGCAGGAGTATATCGGTTTAAGTACAAATAAATATGTTTGAATGTGTATACCAAAAAGGTGGGCGTCCTGAAACACAGCGCCAGTCGAGACATTTATAAAGTGCAAGTCCCTGCAGTCAGTAGCTATGGCAACCGTGTGTACGTTTCCCATATAGACGGCATCAGAGGTCCAGCCCCTGAACCTCCTCGTGCTCGCCACTTCCTCTGTGGGGTCTCCTGCAAGCTGGAGTCAATATATAGAAAAAGTCTGAGTGTGTTGTAAATGAATGTTGTTGTTTTAAAGTTTTAAAGTATCATGATGTCTCTCACCCCGAGCGTCTTGAGGATGTGGAGGCTGCTGCTCCAGACACCGATCTGACCTCCTTTACTGACACTAATGTAGCGCAGCGGAGGAGGGTGGGAGACGGCGACTAAACGCACTGTTGGCTCCCGCTGCAGAGGAATTAAGTAATGAAAGTTTTACTATTAGAAAAACAACATGCAGAAGAGAGTATAGGGATAATATTGGAAAATGTAGCTCAGAAACACCCACACAGATGCTGCAGTCAACTTTTGGTGCATTACGAATTAAGATGTTTCAGCCTTAGTTGCAGCATTTGCTCTTTTATTCACTATCATTTGTAGAAACTGCTGAATATGTTTGATACTTGTATACCAATTGTAACTACTTGTTAGAGGACAGTCAAGTAGCTTACCTGTACAATGAATACACAAAACACTTCAGAAGACCTCCCTAAGCTGACAGACAAACAGCAAGCTAATGTTTTTCTAACAACCGACTATTTACACATGCAGCTGACTCAAAGCAACATCAATTCTTACACAATGCTTGATAGTTTAATAAATTATAATTGTTATATAGATTGGCAACCTATCCAGTAACACACCTTCGGCAGTAGTACAGTGTTTTCATTTTTAAAGAAGTACACAGTAAGAAAGTAAACAGTTGAATTCATGTTTTTTTGTAAGGGCCTTTCAAAATTAAAACATCATTACATTACATTGCATTTAGCTGACGCTTTTATCCAAAGCGACTTACAATAAGTGCATTCGACCAAGAAGATACAAACTTTGAAGAAAACAGAATCATATACAGTAAGTACATCAGGTTTCATCGAGCCAAAACATTTCAAGTGCTACTCAACTAGCTTTAGATAAGCCAGTGCTTTGTTAGTATATAAGTGCTTTGTTAGTAATTGTATTGCTCGAAGTGGAGTCGAAAGAGATGAGTTTTTAGATTTTTACATCACAATCTGAAACTATAGGTATCGTCTTCCCCTATTTGAGAAACCCTTTTCTCTGTATTGAGTCATTTAACTTGGTTGGCGTCAGGAACCAAGTAATAAACTAGCTCGTTTCATCAAAGTAAAAAGGAGATTTGTTTTTCTCTGCATCTGTTTGTCTTTTAAAAAGAACGTGACCTTAATGTTGGCGCCCTCATCTGGCCTTCCAGTGTAATTGTTCAATATTGAAGCATCCTAAAAGATGCACCTTCTCTTTCCCCCAGATATCAGTGTCCTGTTGACTTGCACCTTGTTGTGTGAGCAGAGTCTGATCAGCGGCTGTTTGTGCAGCAGAGCGGCTCTGGGGATGGAGGCTCTCTCTCTCTCAGTGAACTCCAGCAGCAGGTAGGAGCACAGCTGCTGCCACCTCACCTGCCCCGAACAGCTGATATCTACCTGGGAATGAAACAGTTAGACCTGCATTATCATGTGGAAGTCATCCTAAATGATGTCTTTTTGATCAGTATAAGACATTTTTATACCTCACTGAAGAACCTCTCGACCCATGTGTCCTCAACATCTGGACCGACCACAGACCTCATAACCTCCCGAAACGTTTCTAACTTCATTCCCCGCTCTACATTTCTTCCTCTGCTCCTCACGCTCCGTCCTTTCGGCCTCTCTTCATGTGTCTGTTCCTCAGCTTGTTGACGAGTAAATGCATTTCTCAGGAGCTGCAGGTGTTCAGGGGTCAGTTTCTCTGGAGGACTCACTCCACAGGCTGGATCACTGCGGCAAAATGATCATTTAAAGGTCAAATATTATTTGTCTGGATATTTTTTTTTTACTTCATTATTTCTTATCAGTGATGGGATGTAACAAATGACATCTACTCAATTATAGTTCACTATAATATACATTATTTTTTAGATGGGATTCATAATAAATAATGAGTACTTTTACTTTAAGTACAGGACATTAAAGGTAGGGTAGGTAAGAATGGAGAAACCAGCTCGAGCGCGCTAGAATTTGAAAGTATGCAGCCGAAGAAAATGCCCCTTCCTTCAGACTTCCTTACAGAGCCCCTCCTCCAACACACACGAACGCGCACATGACCAATGAGGGCACGAGATAAGTTTGTGCACGAGATGGAAGGCTGACAGGCAGGTAGGCCATCCAGTTATTTTAGCCGGCTAAAATAATTGGTCGTGCTTTTTACAGCACTACGGCTTCCACAGATGAAATATTTGTATGTATTTATTGTCAAAGCATTTAATGTATTCATTGCTATCGGGATGTTAAGAGCATTCCATGGAATATAACAAAATGTGTTTCTGAAGTGAATTATCTACCCCACCTTTAAAGTATACAGGAAATAAGTATATTTCAACAAAATGCAGGACATTTTTTGTTTTACTTAAGTTAAATATCTAAGCACTTATTCTACCACTTCTTCATGTGTGTGCGGGTGTACAGTTGGTTAAACACGCTCAGGACGTAATAATTAGCCTCAAAGCCTCACAAAAATGTTCCAAGTTCTTGTTAGTAAGTTATTAAGTTCATGTTAGTAGGTTTGACTGCTTGTTACTGTTGTTAAATCAAGTCACTGACATCTGGTCTGTTACTGGCTCCCTGTACAAATGAATGCAGCACTCCCAAGTGGCAGCACTGGAACAACACACTACTGATCAAAGATATATTTTGAATCACATTCTAAAGTCTTATATGAACCACACTAAACTGAAGCCTACAATGAGTAAAGACATTTGTAAATTGAATGTAAGGTGTTAATGAGTGGACTGGCAAAATCCGGAATAATTAAGTTTGGGGAGACGTGTTTACAATGCAAAAGATCAAAGTGTTCCCCCCCCAGCAGCAGCTCCTGTGTGGCCCTGTTGCTCGGGAGACGACTATACGCATTGTGAGGCTTTTTCTACGTCTATCAGGACATGCATGAGTGGTGCTTTCCACCATACACACTTCTCACTAATGCTAATGGGACCGTAAAACAATTAAGTAATAAAAGTGTATTAAGTTTGCTGAAAAGGAGTGTTAGAGGTTGTTGAATCTGAATGAGTTGGGGAAGGAGGGTGAGAAGAAGGGAAATAAATCTGTCTGAGTGGAGAAAATATGTGAATCTAAAACATATAAAATGGAAATGTTCAACTTTATAGAAGACTTCACTTAACTTGTTGTAATGTTATGGAAGGATGGAGATGTGGGCAGTTAGATTAAGGGTGAAAGATTGAAACTAGCACATATTTTACAGATTTATTTTTTGCTTTGAGATCATAAAATGGTGGAAAGTTTGGAGGTATTATTAAGATAAAATATAGAAATGTTATAATATTATTGTGGAATATTACAGATACAGCCTACATTTCAAATACAAATACAGTAGGTCAAACAGGCATGTGTGTGTGTGTGTATGCGGTTACAGGATAAAGACATTAAATAAACAGTGATCAGTTGCATTTTCTAACATCATATAAATAAGAATAAGCCAAAGAAAACTCACCAAAACCTGCTGTGTGGCACTTCTGTCTCATAAAGCTTCCATGGATTTTTGTTTTTCCTTAAGGTGTCCATACTCCCTCTTCAAAGCTCCAGATACTGCTCCATCTTTTCCCGTTGAATTTAAGATCAAAATGTAATCTCAATGATCTCCAGAGTCAGATCCTGCAGCTCCCAGAAGTCCTGAGGCCGGTCTGAGATCCTCTCCATGCTCCGGGTCGTCTAAACTCTCAGGGTCTTTGTTTCCATCCCTCCCTCTTGTCTTCTCAGGAAAACCTGATTTGCTCAAACAAAGCTTCTTGTTCTCCAGACAGGCGAGGAATGTCCAGATCCTCGGATCAATAAGCCGTCCGTCACAAGAGGCTGACCGCTGCGAGAGGAGAGTCAACACATCGCTGGTGAGAAGACCGAGGGGAGAAGAGAGTTTCCAAAATAACTGAAAGAGTCCGCTGGGGGTAACCGAGCCGCCAGACAAGCCCTCAGTGGATTAATCATTTAGAGAAGCAAAGTTAGTCAGTAGTACCCAGGAGACGTTATATTTGTAGCAAGGACACTGAAGCTGTTTTATTATATTATATAGTCTTTGCACAGATCCTATAAATGATCCACTATATGTTCTGTGAGAATATATTAAGAGTTAAGGGGGGACACAACAGAGGAATAGTGTTAAATATTCTTCCATAGTTCATTACTTGCATAAGGGCTTTCTTTTTTTGTAACGCAAGTTTTCTAAAAATGTAAGTTTGAATATGCAAAGGGTGCTTTATCCTACTGAATATGGGGCATTTGCATACTTTTTCAAAACAAAACATCTGAACTTTGGTTAAGGCACGGTTCAAAAGGTTTGTCTCATTTTGTTGACCTAATAAAGTAAATGTTTTTTACAGATCAAATACTTTGAAAGCCATTTAAAAAGTACATTTTCACCCTTTTTTAAGCAATATATTACAATGATTTATGAACATAAACATGCAAATAAATCAGAACAAATTGTAACTTTTGGTGAATTAAGAAAGAAATCTATAGATGCAAATAGCCAAAGTATAGTCAAATAAACACCTTATTGTGTACGTTTTATGTATTCTTTCCATAAGTCTGATAGTAAAAATATATCATAAAGGCAAAATAGACCAAACTCAAAATGAACCAGAGCATATTTGCCTGTAGTGTTTCATTAAAAGCAGTGATCAATGATTGTCTGTCATGTTGTTAGAGCCTCACAGACTTCTATAACTAATGTGTTTTATTTGTTGCCAGGCAACCCACTGCACTTCTTCTCCCCACTTCAATGAGCAGGAGCTGGAGTGGCCTCCCAGTAACTTTAATGAAGAGACCAAAGTCCCAGTGGAGTCTCAACTCTGCTGGGCAGGTCTTTGTATCGGCTCTAATATTAGACCCACACACACCTGCAGTAGGAGGCACTGTAACTGCCTCAAATAGCTATTTAATGTATCTGGTGTAAGAGGCAATGACCAGTAATGGATAGCAGAAAAGAATGGCACAGAAATAAAAAAATATTTGGGTTAATACATTTTTTTGCCATTTAGAGCTTTTTATTTTTTATCAAACATGACAAATCTACAAGTTCAGTACACATGGGATAGATTACAAAAAGAACAATAACAAAAGGGGTTCATCAGATTAGGCAAAATAACTGCTGGACTGGGAACAAAGAGAGTCGGGCCCTACTACTACAAAAGTTGAGAGGAAAATAATTTTGAACAAAGCTACATTTAAATATGCACATATTTAGCTGCTGTGGCCCCATGGTGATAGGAAGCTGTGATATCACAAGCCACAATAATCACCAACATGTATTAAACGTAAGACATACACAAATCCCTGCATTTTTTCTATACTGCCAAAAAGTACATTTCTATGACAACGATTTTGATATGACATATTAAAAGAAAGGCAACAGCTGGCTTGAGAAGAACCAATGATATAAAGCAATTAAGGGTAATATTAGCTCATATTCCAGGACACATTGCATCTGTGGATAGGTAGAAATACGTCACTGCTAATGCACTGCATTTCACAACTTTTAGTTTATAGATGTTTTTGTTCCACCAAAACCCTTGCAATAGCTATAAGATATTGTCAAGTCTGGTAAACGTCAAATACACGTGCTAGTACGTGTCACAGCCACTAGATGGAGCCACAGCCAACATAGTTCAACATGCTGAGGCATCAAGAAATAGTGCTGGATCTGCAAATTACAATACCGAGTACATCAGACGACATTAACCCCCATAACAATTCTGCACAGTCTGCAGCGGTGCTGACTGGAGACCAGTCTCTACCTGACCGGTCTCAACGCTGTGTGTGTCCGTCAGGAAACACGCTGTTTACAAAACAGTTCCAGCAAAATCCACTGATAAATTGCGACGTTAAAACCCTCATGATAACCTCATATTTATTTAACTTAGGATCGTACCTGTGTTTAGTCTAGAAAAAGGTAAATGTGTGCATTTTATTATAAAGTTGTGTATATTTACAGACTGTTGCAAAAACTAAGAAGCTTGTAAACATCAGGTTTAAAACCAAAAGAGCTTTACAAAAACACATTTGAGTGTGCCCTCTCCTCTCGGCTGCACGGGGGCAGCAGCAGCAGCTCTCCAGCCTCAGTCTCCCTCGGTTTAATTCCTCCCCCGTGATCCGCCCTTATTTCCCCTTGCTCTCAGACTTGGAAATAAACTTCCTCCGCCTTGTCTGCTCAGTGATGGGGCTGTGAGGATGCACGGCAATCCTGAGACTTTTTCTTTTGTTTTCATTCAGATTTAGTCCTTTTTTTATCAACCCGTCTGCAGCCATGTTGCGGGTTAAGGTGGAATCGGCGAAAGGTCTGCCTAAAAAGAAAGTGGGACACCCTGATCCAATCACCTCTGTGATATTTAAAGGTAAGGCTCACTGTGAAAAGTGTTGACGTTTAATTTGTGTCTTGTATATGGAGAGACAACACTTGTAGATTAACATTTGGTCTTAAATAAGGATGTAAAGTGTATAGTCGCTCAATTGATTAGACTTTATTCTAGTATGACGTCACTATGGGTCTTTATAGTTAGCTGTTATTTTATCATCCAGTATACATGCAAAAAAACGAATATACAGTAGTTATTTTAAGTTTTCCTTTAGTTGTACAATAGCTGTTGGCAAAATAAGCCTATTGCTATTTTAAGTTAGAAGAAGAAGAATTGGGAGGGATGAAACCCTCTTTAATGGTCACACATGCAGAGCACACAGCACACAGCACACACAGTGAAATTGGCCTCTGTTTAAGTGTCATTGTGGTCATTTGAATGCAGTAGCCTATAATTAAAAATAAAATAAAACTACACAAATTGAGCAAGTTGTATTTCATCACTAAAGATTTCCCCAACATGTCACAGCATTTTTATCCACATAAAGTCCGGCCCAGGTTTGGACCTGCAGTACACATGACAGGACAAGGAATGCTTTGATATAGAGGATAGACATGTTAGAAAATGTTGGGAAATTGGCCTTCAGCTACTGAATGGCATTTCCTCCCTAATGAGGAAACTAAGTTCCTGACAATCAGCCTTATTGCTCTCAGCTGCTTTGTTTACACCCAGATCCTCTTCATCATCAGCCCCAGGTGTGGCAGATTTCCTCTTTTCCTCCTTCCCTTTAACTGCAGCACACTGACACGAACAATTTACATAAAGCGTGCAAAGCTAACCCCATTTAGAGAAGGCAATAACTTAACTCAGGCAAACAAGTGGGTAAAAGGATTTCTGATGTTCACCTATGTTTCCTTATCTTGAGAAATCATGAACCAATGAGTTTTTCTTTCAATGTGTGTATTGTTTTCAGATGAGAAGCAGAAAACAAAATCGATTGACAGTGAGCTGAACCCTGTCTGGAACGAGGTAAATCTCCAAAACACACAAATAAACACACACTTGTTATCCATGCTTCACACCTTTACTTAGATTTTACAGGGAGCTTTGGCAAATAAGAAAAGCAGGAATAGTTTATATATTACAAGAAATCCCCTTTAAATGCATCACATGGTAAACGTATACTGTGACAATCATCATATGACTGTATGGACCATGTCATTAGATTATCTAACTGATTATCTGATGTAGACAAGTCAAGTCTTGTTGTTTTTTTGTACCATACAGACTTAAATAAATCAAGCCAGACTCTCAGAGATATAATTTAAATTCTTTAAATTAGATATCTAATGTTCTGTATCCCTCATCTTGTCTTGCAGGTGCTTGAGTTTGATCTGAAGGGCATTGCATTGGACTATAGCGCCTACATAGATGTGATTGTGAAAGACTATGAAACTATTGGGAAAAATAAGTAAGTGTGACACAAACTGCTGAAACTTCCTGTTAGCGTTGGGTTTTGTGCAACAGATGGATCAAAGGGATGAAAGAGGAGGTGTGTGCCTCACCTTTTTTTAATCTCAACGTAAAGCTTTTCTTGTCTGAACGAAGACTGAGGAATAATTCTGTCTAGTCTGATAGGTTAGCTTACAGTAGCTTTTTCTCTGATTGATGATAATAATTAAGATTGTTCTTGTATAGCACTTTTCATACACAGGCAAAGTGCTTTAACAATATGCACACAACAGAAGAACACATAATATAAGACATGTTAGCATACTTGCAGCACTCTGTCCTTAGACCCTCACATCGTACAAGGAAAAACTTCCAGAGAAACCCCACATAATACATTTGATTTAATGGAATACAAGAAAGTTAAATAGGCAGTGTTTTATCGATATCAGCTTTTTTATTCAGATAAAGCACAGGCGTTATTAAGGTGGCCTCTATCTGAAATACCTTTGCTTAAAAATAAGTATTTGTACATGACACATTTCCACCCCTGTGTTTAGGGAAGACATTATTATTAACACTGGCACAGTAACACACAAGCAGAGTGAGTACTGTGTTATCAGAGTGGCTCTGTGCTTGAGTTATGCTGGATCTCGCAGCCCTGCTGAGACTTGCTGGTTTGTGTGGGCTGACTGATCCTGATTGGGCAACAATGGATGGATGAATTGCTGTTTGTCTTCTGTGTGTCTTGGATTTGTGTGGTGCTCTGTCATGCTAGGACAGGGAAAATGTTACAGGATAGAGTAATGTGGCATTAACTCGCCAAACTATTGTGATGGTGGTGAAGTTGCAATTCATGCAGTAGGAGTGAACTGATTTAAAGGGGCCCTATGATGCTCCGTTTCAGGTGTATATCAGTATGTAGTGTCTCTACTGTGACATGTCTCATGCTTTGTCCGGCCGTGGCTCAGTCAGTAGGGGCTTGGACTGTGAGCCGTAGGGTCACCGGTTCAAGTCCCCGACCAGACCTAATATGGAGTGTGGACTTCTACTTGGAGAGGTCCCAGTGCACCTCCTGCCCTGCCGTGGTGCCCTT